GCAGACGGAGGGGCCGTGTCCTGGGGAGGCTGGGGGGGGGGTTGGGAGGCAAGGCGGGGAAGGGGGCATGAGCCAAACTTGGGGGTGGGGGCTGCCTCTCAGGCTGTTTGCCCAGCGTGGCCTCTCTCCCTTTGCGTTCGCAGTCGGCTACCAGCACCCTCAAACATCCCACTACAACTACGGTGAGTGCCCTGCTCCTCCAGGACGAGACCTGGGCCCTGAGCACAGCGCTCCTGCCTGTCTAGGAGCCTGGCCTCCAGGGGCCCTGGGCACAGGGAGCAGGCTGGAAGCCAGCCCCTTCTCTGGTGTCCTCAGTGGACGGAGACCCCCACTTCATCATTCGAGTTCCGGAGAAAGAGGACGCCATCTGCTTCAACATCGATGAAGCCCCGGGCACCGTGCTGCGCCTGGTCCAGGACCCGGTGACAGGTGGGGGCTGGGCCAGGGCCCCTGGTGGGCTGGGGCTCCCTGGGTGGGCACACGGACTTGGGCCTCACTGCCCAATAGGGCATCCATGTTCATACCTACAGCTTACCAGGGCAGGGTGACGGGGGTCCAAGGGAGCTCCCAGTCACACAGGCTCAGGAAGTCACCCAGGTGCCAGGCTGTTGGAGAGATGGCAGAGGCCCTGGGCAACCTGGTCTAGGGGAGTTTTTCTCTTAACACTCCCGGGCCCTGGCACAGGGGAGACCCACGGTGTCCCACAGGACCCCGACTAGGAGCAGACAGGGTTGGGCTCTCTGGGAGGCCCCACCTGGTTGTCTGGAGGGGAAGGCACACCCTGAAGGCCGGCCTGGACTCAGGTCTCCTCGTTGCTCTCCCTGCCCCGCCCCTCCGGCAGGCCTTACCGTTAACGGGCAGATCATTGGTGACAAGACAGCCAGCCCCGACTCCAAGGCCAGGAGGACTTACTTTGGAAGACTGGGGATAGCCCATACTCACCTGGATTTCCGGGTGGAGGTGACACCGGAGAAGATCACCCTGTGGAACGGGGCTGCGCAGAGCATTTTCAGCTGGCTGGACACAGTCACGATCACGCAGGATGGGTGAGGTCCCCGCTGGGTCTCGGGGGCAGGGGGGCCCAGGGCCTAAGGACGATCTTGAGGGATTTGGACAAACCTGAGGACAGACGACCTACAGGGGTCACAGGAGAGACTGGTGGCCTCAGAGTTCAGTTCCCTGTCCCAGGGGAGTGACCATGGTGGCCTTCACCAGCCTCTGGGTCCTTCACCTGAGCCAGAACTGGTAGCTGGACTGTTTGCAGGCCTGGCTTTGAGGTGAGAGCTGGCTGGACAAACGCCCTTGGTGACCACGACCTTAAGCCCCCTTTGCATCTTCTCCAGCTCAACTTGTCACTCCTCCACCTCCTTCGCCTCTCCCATGTCTTTGGATCCCCTAGAGCCTGGCGAGCAGGGCAGGAGTGCTACTCCCACTGAGGCTGGGGGTGGGGGAAGGCGGGTAGGACCTGACCAAGGTCATGCAGGAGGTCAGAGCTTAGCTGAGGCCCCACGCTTGTCCTCCAGACCCCAGGACGCCCTCCTGGCTGCGTTCAAAGCACGGGTGCCCAGACATAGAGGGGTGCTTGGCCAGCCTGCACGCGGCAGCCTCTCTCCACACTCCTGAGCTAGTTCGGGAGTGTGTGAGCTCAATCTCCACGCACGGGGAAGGCCCGCTGAGATGCCTGGGACTCAGACTCAGTGCTGTGACCACTGGGCCCCGTGGCCACCTGCTGACCGCCTCCTCTCTCCTAGGCTGTCTGTGACGATCAACAGGAAGAAGAACATGCTGGTCTCCTTTGGAGAGGGGGTCACCTTTCTGATTGTCCTACACCAGGTGTGGAAGCAGCCACCTGGGCACCAGGACTTTCTAGGCTTCTATGTGGTGGACAGTCACCGGATGTCGGCACAAACGCATGGGCTTCTGGGTACGGAATGCTCAGACCTCAGGTTGTTCAGGCCACACAACTTCATGGGAAAGATGCGCAAAAGGCTGGCTGGGTCTCTCCATGGCCAACCCACAACACCACGCTTAGTCTTTACGTCAACCCCAAGAGGCCAGAGGCCTTGGTACCGTGGCTGACAGCGCGAATGTCTCCATTCCCAGGGCAATTCTTCCACCCCTTTGACTTTGAAGTGTCTGACATCCGCCCAGGCTCTGACCCCTCAAAGCTGGATGCCACAATGGTGGTGAAGAGCCATCGGCTGGTTGTCACCAGGTGAGGGGCTTCCTCTAACACTCTCACCCTGCAGCAAGACCAGAGGAATGGCCTTCTCTGTCAGGCAGGTTTGCCTGAGGGACTCTTCTGCAGAGTATCTTTGTTTCCCTTTGAGATAGCCCCCGAAGCTGTCCTCCTCGAGGAAAAGTCCAAAGCCCAAACTTGCCCCTGAAAGGAATATTCATGTGACCTCAGTCTTGATCAAATAATTACTTTTTTCTAAATTCTTATTTTCTTTTAAAATTCTGGGCTCTTAAAATCATCAATTTCACATTTTTTAAAGAATTATTTTATTTAACTTTATTTTTTAATTTGATCAGAGAGGGAAAGATAGAGAGAGAGAAAGTGAGAAAGCAAGTCACCAAGTCCGGGACTCGAACTACAGTTGGCCATGTGGGAGTCCAGTGCCCTGAACCACCATGCCACCTGCTGGTCTCTTGTTTTTTGTTTTTAATTGACAGAGGGTACATGTGTTTGCCAGAGAGACAGAGAAGAGAGAGAGAAAGCACCCCCAATGGGGCATGGTCATGCCATAGTCCCTTCTCCATTTCTCCATCCTACTGGGATTGGGGACATGCACACACAAGCACACAGAGTGATTTTCAAGCTGCTGGGGCCAGGACTCAAGCCACAGATGACCACGTGGGATCTGGCTCCTTTAACTGCTAGTCTACGGGCAGGCCCACACCCTATCCCCTTAGGTTCATGTCTATAGCAGCCATCTTGCCCTCCCCCGTCTGTTAAGCGTCTCTCTTCTTTTTCCCAGGGGCTCCCAGAAAGATTACCGGAAGGATGCAAATGGCACAAAGGTCGTGTGCTGGTTTGTCCACAACAATGGGGAAGGGCTGATCGACGGTGTCCACACTGACTATATCATCCCTGCCCTGTTCTGAATGGACGCAGCAGCTCCGGTTCAGATGGCTGGCCAGCCTGCCTGGCATCTGGGACAAGGGCACAGAGAGGGGCCTGTGGGAGGGCTGGGCTGGAGCGCAATAAAACTCGGTGGAAACCAGACAACTGCTGACTCTGTATGCCCTCATGGGTCCCTGCTCCAGGGACAGCAGCTGGGACCTAAGGCAGCTCGAAGGGGGGCATGGCTGGGGGGAGGACCTCGCCAGCTCTCAGCTGATACTGCTGGCTGGAGTATCACTTTGGGAAGTCAAAGATGTGGTGGTTTGGGAGGGAAAAAAAATCAAGAATTAACTCAGGAGCAAGGGGCCTCTGGGAAGTCAGGAAGGGCTGAGGGCATTTCAGGGTCATCGAAGAAATCGTCATTACACAGCCCACATGGATCTATCCAGTCACTCCCCATCCATCGTATGGCTAACTATCCACCCATCCATCCAGTCACTCACCCACTCACCCCATTCACCATCCAAACATCTGTTTATCCCCTCGTCTCCCCATCCATCTGTTTATCCGCCTGCCCATCTGTCCACCATCCATCCACCCACTGAACCACTCACCCATCCTACCGTTCATCCATCCGTCTACCCACCCATTCACCATCCGCGCGTGTAGCCACCTATCCGACCTCTCATCTATGCATCCACTCGCCCCCTTCAGTCCTCTACCCTGAGGTCTAGGGGCACACAGTTTAGTAACCCAGTTCCCATTTTCTTGTGTGCCCAAGACTGCTGGGCCAGGTATCTCTGCGATCCTCCAACCACGCCTCATGGTGACTCCTTGCTCTACCCTCCCAACGAGTTGAGAGTAGGGTAAGGGGTCACAGGTCCCCAGAAAAGGGCTCTGAGAAATCTCCAGTTTGGACAAGCTTCTCTTGGGTCTCGCTGCCCCCAAGAGAGCTTTTGGCAGGGCAGAACTGATCATCACCCCCTGCCTAAATCCCTGCAAATGCTTTCTCCCACCCATCATTCTGGGGACCTAGATAAAGTTCCTATGGCCTCTTCAGCTTGTCCTCAGTTTCTGGGTCCCAGACATACAGGCTGCTTTCAATTGTGCAAACATGACCCCTCTTACCCCAGATCTTTTGCCAAGGGCATGCTAGGCAGAGGGTACCCCATTGAAAGAAGCAGTGGGTGGCTTTGCTTGATGGCAGGGGTGGGGGCCCGATATGGCTGGAGGAGACAGGCCCGCTGGTCGTGAGCCATTAGGAAATTGTCCTTCTTCCCACTCCAGAGGGTCCCATGGCCTCTCCCCACTGATAGAACCAGAACCAGGATTTTCCAGGGCTCACATTGGCTGGCCAGGGGACTGCAGGAAGTGTCCGTCACAGAGACTAGAGCCTCCTCCCCTACCCCCAGGGGCTGTGGATCAGTACCGGTAGACTGGCATTGTTACTTTAGGGAGAAGGTCAGTCAAGACACGGCTCCCATGGGCTGGCTCCAAGGCCTGGTGGTAGGGGCAGTGGGATTCCACATGGTCGACTACACAGTTTGCATCCCAGACCCGTGAGTTGGAGAAACACACTGAACACGTGTGCATCTGTACGCAAAATCCCAAAAGGAGGGAGAAATGGAGGAGAAGGGATAGTGGCGTGACCGTGCTCCACAGGGGGTGCTTCCTCCTTTCCGTCTCTGTCTCTGTCTGACTCTCTCTGACGAGTGCACACGCCCTCTAGCACACATGCGCACAAAGGCACACAGCTCCCTTCCTGAAGGTAAGGCACAGGGCAAATGCGAGGCAGAGGGCTGGAGAGGGCTGGGCTGGCCAGATGGGCCTAGGCCTGAGAAGGCCCCGCTAGAA